GCTGCAAACCTTTCTAAGAAACAATGAAGATCAGTTTCAGAGGATGCTAATAAAACAAGGTCGTGTGCAAACTGCATCCTTCTTGTCTTCACACCTCCTACACCGACACACGCATCGCCTTGACAGCTCCTGACTATTCTCTCCATGTACAACACAAACAGGATAGGGGACAGGACGCAGCCTTGGCGGAAACCAGTGCTTATGGGGTTTCGACTTAATGCCATTAACATTGACGCAACGCCTACTATCAAAATGCCGTGATCGGATGACCCTCAGCAGCTGGCCATCTATCCCGTATGCACGAAGGCATGCCCACAGACTGTTGCGTGGGATATGGTCACGCTTTTTTTAGGTCCTCAAAACACATGTACGCCGGCTGGGCGTACTCCCACGATTTCTCAACAATTTGGCGCAGGGCAAATATATGGTCAGAGGTGCTTCGACCGGGCCGGAAGCAACGTGCTTTTCATGGATCTTGGGATCAACCATTTCACGGCATCTCCTTTCTAACATCTTTGCGTAGACTTTACCTGGGAGGCTCAATAACGTTATGCCCCTATAATTGCAGCATTCATTGTGGTCTCCCTTCCTGAATACGGGTACAATAACTCATGTTCTCCAGTCCGCTGGTGTTTTTTTCGCAGTCATAGCAGTTTGACCGACATGTGTTAGCCAGTACATGCCTTGTTCGCTTAATGTCTTGAGCATCTCAGGGAGCCACAGCCTAAAATATATATATTCGAAAATTTAGGAATTTGTTCGTGACTGTTCACACTGAAAGCTTGCAAATGCACAAAAGCAGTTTACTTATAAACCGCGCAAAAATAAGTGGGCCAAACGTGTGACTGATCGGTACCAATGTTTCGGCTCATTTCGATGAGCGTTTTTAAGGACGGACTGGGTTGGTTTCTGCAGTTGGTTGTGTGGTTTGCAGCTGTTGTGACGTCTGGATCTGAAGGCCTGCCTTTGGCCCATAGTGCTAACTAAGTAACTAGTTAAGTAACTTTTGTCATGAATTTGATAAAGCTTGTCCACTCTGCGCAGAGTTCGCATCGGGACAGAGGATACGGATATTTCTTTTGATTGTTACTAATAAGTGATCTTACAAGTGGTGTTATAGCGGTTGCACTTTTCTGAGTGTAGGAGAATGAGAAATATGTGGTCATT